TCTCTCTCTCTCTCTCTCTCTCTCTCTCTCTCTCTCTCTCTCTCTCTCTCTCTCTCTCTCTCTCTCACGCACACACACACACACACACACAGACACAAACATGCAGGTCTCTTGCATCAAATGTACAAAAGAAGTTCATGCATCTCCCAGTTGAGCATGGCCTTCTTATTTTATTTTTGCATAAAAGGAAAGGAAAACGGAGACGGCAATGTCACAGCGCATCGATTTTGCGAATAACTTGCCTTCAATAAAAGGAATAAATTTATGAAATATAGATTATTATCAAATATAAAAAATAATATTTAGTAAAATAAAAAATAAAAATGTATACACTGTCTCACCTTCGTCAACTATTGTGCATAGAACAATCCAGTAGATTACCGCCGCGGCTAATCCCAAGATAGCCGCGTACGTGGCAGCAACACGCAGGCAATCAACCTGCAGACCCTGTTAAGGGAGGAAACAAATTATTGGAAAATGTTAGATGGATGGAAGGTTTTTTTTTTTTTTTGATGAATGGAAGATTACTAAGAACATCCGTTGGAGAAAATGCACAGAGATAGGGAGGAACAGCGGAATAGAACGCCGGGTCATTATACCTGCTGTAATTGGGGCCATCTTTCGGTCTAGGTACAGCTATATAATGACCGGGCGTTCTATTCAGGTCAAGAGGGTAGCTTTTTTCCATAATAGCTGCATTTCGGCCAGCTTTCGGTCTAGGTACAGCTATAACGACCGGGCGTTCCTTTTTTTTTTCTTTTCTTTTTTTTCTGTTTAAGGGAAGGATCATTCAAAGACGGCTTTTTTATATTTATATTGCAAAGATCGTAGTTGAGGCCGGGCCGGGGCCCTCACAATTCAACCCGGGGCAAGGTCCCACTGGCACGGATTAAGAGATTCTGGCCGTTGATCTCTGCTATCCACGGTCAATATCGCTTAAGTCGTGTAAGTGGGACCTAGACCCCGGAGTAACATACTGGGGCCAATACCCAATACCCAGCTTAGCCTTGGGGGAAAAAAAGTTACCCTCTTCATCTCTTCATCCGAATAGAACGCCAATACCCACCTGGGTCGTGCATCCCTTACAACCACAGCCACCTTCGAAAGCAAAAGCGTGTAAACTAAACTATGACCGGGCGTTCTATTGGGGTGAAGAGGGTTGCTTTTTTTTCCCAAGTGGGTCGAGCGATGTGCGGCAGTAGACACATAGATTTTACTTTTTTTTTCCCCGCCCAAGTTTAGGAAAACTCTTGCGCAGTTGATTTTCACATTTCAGTTTTTTTTTAGCCGTCAATAACTAAAATTTAATAAATAAATGATGAAGCGATAGCGTGCAAGAGGAGTGCTCAGTACTTGTGGCTAAGGGCATAACAGTTTCTCGAGTCCTTCGGGACGTCCATCAAAATTGGAACGATACAGACAATGTTCGCATGGTCTCTGCGCAAGGGCCAAAAAAAAAAAAAAAAAAAAAAAAAAAAACAGTTCAGCGGATCCAGGCTTGTGCAAATTATGGTCCCTAAAAAAAACAAAGTATGGGCATACTCTCACACTAGGCCCTCAAAATCACCCCACGAATAGATTGGAGCCTTGTTCCCATTAAAAAAAAAAAAAAGCCCCTCAAAATCACAGAATCGCAAAATCCGCTGTCAGATTGAGCCCATCTCAAAAACAAGGACTCGATCTGGGCGCTCATTTTGCTCTTCTGCGATTTTGAGGGCCTAGTGAGAGGGTATACTCCCACTACGACTTCTTTTTTTTTTCCTTACTCAGTTTTAGACGTTATTGCGGTCAGATTCATCCAGGTCCCTGGCGTAATTGCGGTTGGATACATTTAGCAAAGCACTACTGTGAGTAGGCCCTGAGTAAGTATACTCTCATAGCCCGTACTAAAAAAAAAATTGCCTCCAAACAACGTTTTAAAAACTAAAAATAGCCTTCAAACATCCAAAAGCGTTCTGACCTTCCTGAAAAAAAAAAAAAAAAAAAAAGGACCTTGCTGACCTATACACGTATATAAACCGAAGAAATTTCTGAAATTTTCTCAAAAAGCCAAAAGATTAAAAAGAACCAACCCCCCACCCCCCCCCAAAAAAAAAAAAAAAAACTGTGACTTC